CACACACTGAAACAAAAGAGTGTAGTATTTTGAACGATACAGTTGCTTTTGAATTGAAACATATTTAACCTCGTGTCTTCGGAAAGATCACTTGATGACGGTAAAGATCACTTGGAAAGCCCGTTTCTTTTTTCAGCCGATCATAAATAAGCTTCTCAAATTTAACCTCCAAATTAGCGTTTCCTCAACCTTCGGTGTTTTCCTTTTTCCTTTAAAGCTGTCTTCTTTGAATCGCCTCACATGTTTCGAGATTTCGGAAAAAAAAGTCAGGACAGCTAAATGATATTGAGTGTCTAAAAGTCAAGATTTGGAAAAAAAATCATTTATGAATGTAAAAAAAAAACGATTGGAGTTGACAATGGCAATACTTTTTGGGTGATTAAGATTCCAATTTCAAATCGTAGTTTAGTTGTTTCTTTCTATAATTTCTTTTGATTTTTGAGTTTTGAGTCTTTCAATTTACTAATATGGCGGCATATTCATGTCGAAAATGTGGCAAAATTAGGTTCGGCAAAGAATAAAGTTCAAATGTCGTAGACATAGCCGGGCCTATTTGCAGGTTGCAAATTAGAAAAATGTTCGTTGAAGCTGATGGTACGTCGTCGTTGATTGTAATGGTCATCTGGTTGTTAGCTGTCGTTGATCATGTTGGTCATCAAGTTGTTACTGTGGTCCAATACTCGCGAGAGTTTGACTGCTGGTCGGTGTAGAATCCCCTGCTAGTCTTAATTTCGCAGGAGCGAACGATTCCGACTGCACCTGGGAAAGTACAAAGTACCCGTCCCAGGGGCCAAAGACCTCGAGGCGTTAGGTCTTCCAGTATCCATCAAGGTCTCCTTGCTGAAGATTTTCCACTTGCTTTGTCCATTTCGTTCGGGTTGTCAAGGTTGGCAAGTAGTCTTTGAGGTATCTGTACCGGAACTGTTCACTCAAGGCTTGAGCTTGTTTCCAAGTTTTCTTGTCCGTTGTGTGGCGAGGGAGAAACAATCCGGGAGGCAAATTGTTTGTTGGTCGTCCTAGTAGAAGGTGATTGGGTGTAAGGGGCTCGTCGTCGGTTGGGTCTGATGAGACGTGGGTTAGCGGGCGAGAATTAATCATAGCTTCAACCTCGCACGTGAAGGTTGACAGAGTTTCGTCGTCCAGTGTCCGTGTTCCGATGACTTTGTATAACAAAGGACTGGAGTCACAGACTCGAAAGACCCACGGAGATATAAACGTTTGTCTAGTAGAATCGAAAAAGTAACACCACATACGGCTGAATTGAAAAAAGGATCTCGACTAAGACGAAGCGGCGTTTCGTTTAGACTGGAAGCCGAGGAGCATCGAGCGGTAACGGCGACTACTCAAGGCCCCAGTTCCACGAGCACCTCATGCCTGAGTGCGAGAGTTACCACGCAAGAGGCCGAATCGGCGGCGAAAGAGAGCAGGTTACCAACGAGAGGAGAACAGCCGAAATGCAAATTGCCGAAGACACGGGCGTCCACAGGGACAGAGGAGCATGAGAGAAAGAAACTGCGATGAGCTATCGATACAAGCAGCGACGAGTACAGCGAAGATGAAGACGAGAACCAACGAGCAGAAGTGAAGAGCGTAGAGAATCCGACGAATGAGACAACAGGGGGCGACGAAAGTAGGAAAGACAACACGACCGAATCCTCGAGAAACGAGCAAACGGGGACATCGGGAACTGACGGCTCGAGGAGTTAGAAACCGGGGGAAGCCATGCGACTTTCGACGAGGCAGCAAAGGGGGTCATCAAGATGGGTGGCGTATTGATCAATTTGATTGATCGGACGTAGCAAAAAGAAATCGCCAAGAGAACCCAGGGAAAGGGCCGACAGCTTAAGCCCAAAAACTTAAAGTTAAAACGTTTACATACGCTAAAATTCAACTATATTTATACAAGCATATTATGTACCAGCTGGGTTCTGGTGATTATAAAATTTCAATCTACCAATTTAAAATTCATTTTGTTTGCCTCTACGAAATAGGGACAATTTTGAGATAAATGTTAAGTCTTTGGCTCAACCTGGATACCTGCTGTTTTGACCTTGTGATCGCTATATTGTCTGGCACACACTGAAACAAAAGAGTGTAGTATTTTGAACGATACAGTTGCTTTTGAATTGAAACATATTTAACCTCGTGTCTTCGGAAAGATCACTTGATGACGGTAAAGATCACTTGGAAAGCCAATTTCTTTTTTCAGCCGATCATAAATAAGCTTCTCAAATTTAACCTCCAAATTAGCGTTTCCTCAACCTTCGGTGTTTTCCTTTTTCCTTTAAAGCTGTCTTCTTTGAATCGCCTCACATGTTTCGAGATTTCGGAAAAAAAAGTCAGGACAGCTAAATGATATTGAGTGTCTAAAAGTCAAGATTTGGAAAAAAAATCATTTATGAATGTAAAAAAAAAAATTGGAGTTGACAATGGCAATACTTTTTGGGTGATTAAGATTCCAATTTCAAATCGTAGTTTAGTTGTTTCTTTCTATGATTTCTTTTGATTTTTGAGTTTTGAGTCTTTCAATTTACTAATATGGCGGCATATTCATGTCGAAAATGTGGCAAAATTAGGTTCGGCAAAGAATAAAGTTCAAATGTCGTAGACATAGCCGGGCCTATTTGCAGGTTGCAAATTAGAAAAATGTTCGTTGAAGCTGATGGTACGTCGTCGTTGATTGTAATGGTCATCTGGTTGTTAGCTGTCGTTGATCATGTTGGTCATCAAGTTGTTACTGTGGTCCAATACTCGCGAGAGTTTGACTGCTGGTCGGTGTAGAATCCCCTGCTAGTCTTAATTTCGCAGGAGCGAACGATTCCGACTGCACCTGGGAAAGTACAAAGTACCCGTCCCAGGGGCCAAAGACCTCGAGGCGTTAGGTCTTCCAGTATCCATCAAGGTCTCCTTGCTGAAGATTTTCCACTTGCTTTGTCCATTTCGTTCGGGTTGTCAAGGTTGGCAAGTAGTCTTTGAGGTATCTGTACCGGAACTGTTGACTCAAGGCTTGAGCTTGTTTCCAAGTTTTCTTGTCCGTTGTGTGGCGAGGGAGAAACAATCCGGGAGGCAAATTGTTTGTTGGTCGTCCTAGTAGAAGGTGATTGGGTGTAAGGGGCTCGTCGTCGGTTGGGTCTGATGAGACGTGGGTTAGCGGGCGAGAATTCATCATAGCTTCAACCTCGCACGTGAAAGTTGACAGAGTTTCGTCGTCCAGTGTCCGTGTTCCGATGACTTTGTAGAAGGCAATCTTAAATGTTTTTATGAGGCGTTCCCATGATCCACCAAAGTGAGGAGCTGCAGGTGGGTTGAACTCCCAGGTTATTCCAAGTAATTGGCATTGATTGTTGAAGTCGTTGCTGTGTTGAATCTCAGAAAGGCTTTCCTGTAATTCCTTGTCAGCTGCAACGAAGGTTTTTCCGTTGTCAGGGAAGATGATCCTGGGTTTACCGCGTCTAGCGATGAAACGGCGTATGGCTTGTAGAGTTGAGTTTGTGTCAATTTGCTGGCATATTTCTGAATTAAATGCTCGCGTGACGAGGCAGGTGAAGAAGAGAGCGTATCGCTTACTGCACTCGTCGTTGTTCCGCGTGGCAAAGGGTCCAAAGAAGTCAATTCCTGTTGAGTAGAAGGGGTAACTGTTTTCCGATAAAGGGTGTCGTTGTAGGGGTAGATCTGCCATCAGAGGCTTCACTGGAACCTGTCGAAGGCGTCGGCACGGTATGCATTGTCGAATAGTTTTCTTCAGATGCTTGCGTGATCTTATGATCCAAAAGTCCTGCTGAAGAATGCTTCGGGTGTGTTCCATTCCACAATGGGAATTTATTTTGTGTGTTTGCTTCATGAAGAGTTGTATTGGGTAGTTTTCTGCGTTCAGAATGACTGGATGTTGACTGCAAAGTAGAAGCGGGGCTTTCTGTAGTCGTCCTTTGGCACGTAAGTACCCGTGATCGTCGTTGAAGGGGCAAAGAGGTTGTAGAGGGCTGCGGGGTGGAATGTCAGATTTCTTTGTCAGGCATGCTATTTCCTTGGGGAATGATTGATTCTGTGAGTGTTCAATGATCCATGCAAATCCTAAGGTGAGGTATTGAAGTGAGAGGCTCTGGCGTGTCTTCCTTTTGATGTTTTCTGCGAAGAGAAGAACATATGAAGTAACTCTGAGTGCTCTTGTCCAAGTGCTAAGTCGGTTGAAGTCGATTACTGATGTTGGCGGTTGTGGGTCGTTGTCTGTCAGATGAATATCGGCTGTAGGTTGTGTTGGCGGCTGATTAGGCCAATCTGATGATGGTCTTAACAAGAAGTCTGGTCCTTTGATCCATCGTGAATCGGTAGTCAAGTCACATGCTTTGTAACCACGTGTTCCGTCGTCTGCAGGGTTGTCTTTGCTGGGCACGTATCTCCAGTCCAGTGGAGATATTGAGTCCATGATTAAATTCAGGCGGTTGGCAATGAAGATCCGGTGTCGTTGATTCGGCGAGTTTATCCAATGAAGAACTGTTGTATTATCTGTCCATAGTGTCGTACTGTCGATTCGTATGTCATGTTGTTTTTTGATGAAACGAGACAGTTTAGCTCCGTTAGTGGCGGCTTGAAGCTCGAGATTTGGAATTGTCATTCTGCTGATGGGTGCTACTCGGGCTTTTCCAATGACGAATTTGAGTTCCGTTGTGTCGTCGTCGTATCTGATTCTGAGGTAAGCAACTGATGCTAAGGCAAGTTCGGAGGCGTCGCTGAATACATGGAGTTGGGTTTCCAGTAGCTTCGTTTCTGGTTTCAAGTAAGTCCGGGGCAGGCAGATGTCGTTGAATTGGCTTCGCTTGTCTATCCAATTGTTGAGGTCTGTTAAATGCTCCATGTTTAGAGGTTTGTCCCATTGAGGTCCATTACTCCAGGCAAGTTGAAGTGATTGTCGTAGTTGAATTGTCAGTGGCATCGTAATTCCAAGCGGGTCAAAGATTGAAGAAGCAAACTTCAATAGTTTGCGCAGCGTTAAGTCCTGCTTGTCAATGGCGTGAAACTTCTTTGCTTCCACAAGAAAGACGTCCGTGTCTGGTTTCTATTTCACTCCAAGAACTCTTTCGGGGTCGTTCCTTTTTGGTGAGGCTGTCGCTGTTTTCAGAGTGATTCTCGTTGACTGTTGTGAGGAATTGTTGAGAGTTTGAGGTCCATTTTGTGAGGTTGAAACCTCCAAGGCTGAACATCTTTTGAAGGTCGTTCAATAACTGTGTCGCTTCCGTCGGTGTTGAAACGGCTTTGTATAGGTCGTCCATGTATATGTTGCGTTTTGTGATTTGCTCCAAGGCTGGATATTTGTCGGCATTGTCCTTCGCACATTGTCGAGTGGCATAGCAGGCAACACATGGTGAGTCGGTAGCTCCGAAGATGTGGCGGGTGTATTGGAAGGTTGCGGGTTGGCCCGTGTTGTCCTTCCACAGAAATCGCAAATACGGCTGGTCCTCTGTGCTCACGAAGACCTGCATGAACATTGCTTCAATGTCGGCAGAAATAGCAATTTGGTCCTCGCGAAATCGCATAACGATTCCAGTAAGGTTTGTGAGGAGGTCTGGTCCAGTTAGTAGGTTGCTGTTGAGTGATACTCCTTTGCAGGTGCTCGATGCATTAAGGACTCGGCGTACCTTGCCAGGTTTATTGATGTTTGTCACTGGATGTTGAGGATGGTACCACTTTCCTGTTGAGTCTTCATGGGAATCATCAACTTTGACTATGAAAACTTTCTGCAAGTCGGTGTCGATGGTCTCCTGATATTTCTGTGCCATCTCGGTGTTTCTCTTCAGTCGTTGGAGAAGGCTGTCGAGCTGCTTCTTGGCAAGCCATCTATTGTTTGGCAGTTGTTGTCCACGTTTCCAAAGCATTGCAACTTCGTAGTGTCCATTTGGCAAGCGGGTTGGTGAAGATTCCAAGATGCGGAGAGCTTCCTTGTCGTCTGTTGAGAGGCTGCGTTGGTCAGTTGAAATCCCTTCGGCGTCCACTTTCATCCATTCAGCTACGTGGCGAAACAGTGTATCGACTGTCGTGAAGTTGATTGTGTTGATGTCGTTGGGTGTCGCTGCATTGTCTCGTCCACAGAGAGACCATCCAAGTGGCGTTTTCCATCCAATAGGCACATTTTGTTTTGAATGGATTACTTCTGAAGGTGTCATGAGTTCGGCGAAATCGCATCCAATGATGATTCCGATTTGTTTCGAGGGCAGTGTGGCTATCCGAATGTGTTGAAGTGGCTCGTTCCTTTGGCAGATGGAGTTGACGAGTTCAGGGTTGAATTGGGAAAGGTTCCAATCCATTATGACGTCGATGTCATTTAGTTGAAATGGCTGCTTTTGCTGGCTGTAGGGTCCAATCGCGATCGTCATCTTTGTAGAAGCTGTGTTTGATGATGTCAGTGCTTGGTTTAGCTGCATGGTGTCGTCTAATTGCAGATCTTGTTTGAGTTGGAGGGCGATTGATGATTTAAGCAATGTCAGTTTGCTTCCACAATCAAGCATTGCATGGGCATGAACTCTATGTTTGCCATGAGAGATCGTTATTGGCAGGGTCGGAATGTGGCGCGTCGATTTTTTTCTGCTTATGCTGGTGCTGCATTTGGTGATGTCGTCATGTTGTCTGGAGTTCCGGTTGGCTGTCTCCCTCTGTGTCGTCGAGTTGTAGGTGCTGCTGTTGTGCAGAAGTGTGTGGTGTTTCTTACTGCATCCGTCCGTCCGGCAGGTTTGAGTTGATTGAGGGGGCTGAGGCAGTTGAAACATAGTTGTAGGTCCCTGGCATGTTGTAATCTGTCCTTTGTGTTCATTGCGATGATGTGTTGGCATTTTCCAAGGTACTGGCAATTGCGTTTCTCCGGGCAAAAATCTCGTCGTTGATCCTTTTGTCCAGATTTATGTTGCTGCTGGCTGCGTTGCTGGTTCCGGTTGTTCTGATTGGCGCGGTGATCCGATGGTCCATGTTGGTGGGTGTGACCGTTGGATGATGATCCTTGAGTGTTGCTGCTGTTGTAGTTGTTGCTGCTGCTGCTGTTTCTGGTGTTGTTGTTGTTGCTGTTGCTCGGCAAATCGCTGCATGCTTCGGCGTAGATGTTGAACCAATTGGTGAGGTCGATGAGTGATGGTTGTCTGATGTTGCATTACAGATTGTATCTATTCCATTCTAGTCGGCAAGGGGTAGGCAGTTTTGACAAAACTGTTTGGACATTTGTCGTAGAGTGTAGATCGTGCTGGAATCCAAGTGTCGTGAATGTATCGACCATTGTCTGTAGGAAGTTGGCGAGGTCCTTGTAGCTTCTGGTATGTCGCAGATTGGGGCCGCTGATGGCGTCGAGTCGTCGAAGGAAGGATGTAACTATCTTCGTCGGGTTACGAAAGTCGTTTTTCAGTCGCTGAAGGGCTGCGTCATACATTGCTCCCTTGCATCCATATCCTCGGATGAGAGATTTGGCATCTCCGGATACAAGTTTCTGCAGATGAGTCATCTTTTCCGAGTTTGTCATGTCGGTGCTGTTGATGGTTGCGTTGAACAGTCCTATCCAATCTAACCATTGTTCAGGTTATCCGTCGAATATGAATGGTTTTACAACGGGCACTGATTTCCTGAATGTTTTCGAGATCGTTTGATGATGGTTGTGGTCTGTCGGTGCTGTTCCAAGGTTGGTCGGAATCGGAAAATAAGTCGGCTGGTTCTGATGTGCTGCATGTTGATGTGCTGCATGTTGATGGACTGCATGTTGATGAGGGGGAGGTCGGTTGATATTTGGGTGAGTTGTTGCTGTTGGTCCCCTGCAGCCTGCATGAAAGAAGGCTGTTGTTGATGATGTCGGCATGTTCGTAGGGTTGTATGCTGTCGTGGTTCCCAGAAATTGTTCCTGGTACGATCGTATGGCAGGTTGTGTACATTGGTGAGTCAGGGTCGGCTGGCTGGAGGTCCAATTTGTTGCTGTTCGTTGATCTCCTTGGTTTGTTGGCAGTAGTGCTGGTTGTGCTGGTATCGGTACTCCGTTGATGTTTGTGATACCCTTAGCTGTCGTCTGGTGTCCACTGAACACGTTGGTGGGGGGATGATTGGTTGAATTCTGATTTCCAATCGTCAAGATGGGTCTAAAGGCGCTATTCGGATTATGTGTCCTCTGTTGTTGCCTTGAAGGCTGGTTCTGTTGTTGGCTTGAAGGCTGGTTCTGTTGTTAGCTTGAAGGCTGGTATAGTCCATGTAGGGGGCTAGCTGTCTGTGGAGCAAGAATTGGGTGTGTGCTTTGCTGTCCGATCATTTGACTCTGAGCTGCTTTTGAAGATGCTGTCGGTAGAAATATTGGCGCTGAAACATTTCTTTGTCGGGTTGCTGATGCGTTCATCTGCTGATTGAAAACTTGGATTTGAGTTCCAGGGTTGGAGTGCGGTGACGTTTCATGAAGTTGAGCTTCTGAGTTCGGTCTTTGTCCCACTGTTGCTGTCAATTGCTGATTGTCGATTTGGAGTTGAGTTCCATTGTTCAATTCTATAGTCGTTTCTTGAAGTTGAGCTTGTGGGTGGTTCGGCTGAAGGTTTGAACTTTGTGACAAGTCGGCGTTCGGCTGCTGCAATGAGAGGTTTGACTGAGGATGGAGGTGAGTTCCATGGGCAGTTTGAGTTCCAAGAGTTTCTGTTTGTTGTTGATGAATGCGATGATCCAAGGTATTGGCATCGCTGTTAGATCCGGGGCGAAGTAGGAGTCCTGAATTGTCCTGGGCGGAATTTGATCTGTGGTTTGAAGTAGCGTTTAAGATTGCTGGCAATCCTGAAAATTGTGGCAAATCGTCCGGGGTGTCCTGGTCCATGGTGACGTTTTGTGTAGTGGTACTACGGGTTAAACTTTCCGTTTAGCGTCGAAGGGGAAGAATTTCCAAGGCTTGTCGTATTATTGAAGGCGTCGAGACGTTGCTGGCTAATCGTGACGAGTAAAAAGAAGACGTGGCAGTGTTGTTGAGGGTACGCTCGTATCGTTTTGATCGTAGTTGGATCGTTCGGTACAAAACTTTCAAAGTTTTTAATCGTTCAATGATTGAGTCTTGCTGGTCCGTTCCGGTGCGTATTATCTTGACTGCTTCGTTATTGGCATCGTCAAGCAAGCTCTTCAATTCCGTTAAGAAATCGTTTATGATCTGTACTTCGTCGGAATCGCTTATGGCTTGGTTAATTGCTTTTGCTAAAATTTATACGTCTGTTTCTATGACTTTAAAAACAGCATCATAGTTTGAATTCATTTTTAATTGGCTATGTCTCCTAAACTTAATTCAAGTTTTGACGTGTCAGACAAAATGTAAAATGGCCAATATGTAATTCCTTTGATTACATGGAACCCTCGCAATTGTATTGTAACAAAAAAATGATTTTGAGTTTTTTTTTCTTCTTTGGAACTTACAATCCAAAAAAAGAAAAAAAAAAGGAAACAATATGATTGGTTAGTATAAGGATGGGTTCGCTGATTTTTCAAACAAAAAAAAACCTTGGTTTCGGTTTCTTTTTTTAAAAAAACTATTGTGCGCCAATGACAATAGCAACACGTTTTGGGTGATTAAGATTCCAATTTCAAATCGTAGTTTAGTTGTTTCTTTTTATGATTTCTTTTGATTTTTGAGTTTTGAGTCTTTCAATTTACTAATATGGCGGCATATTCATGTCGAAATTGTGGCAAAATTAGGTTCGGCAAAGAATAAAGTTCAAATGTCGTAGACAGGAGTATTGAAAAAAGACACACTTTTTATGTTGCGTTTTCATGTTTGGAAATTGTACAATAAGCTTTTTTTTTACAGAAAAAAAAAACACATAAGTGCGCAAGTGCGGTGATTTTTTCGCTTTGAAGATTGCTAACTCAATTCTGTGCTCAAGCAACTAGTTCACGGGAAAATTTTTTTTCGCCTGCACAATTTCATTGTTTTCGTCTAATAACGGAGTTCAAATTGAAACAAATTATCAAAATTTTACAAGAAACAGGTTTTTGCATAACCATAATTTGTGCGTTTTGTTTTTATGTTCAGATAAAGCTGAACCTATAAAAAACAGGCTACTTTTTAGCTACTGATGTCTTAAGGTAGAATTTTTCTAGTCTCATACAGATTTAGCAGTTTATCTGTGGGATTGTTACCACTTAATTCACCTTTGGTAATTGTGTAGAAAAAAAAAACAGATTTTCTAAGCGCAATGCAAATTATTTTTTGAATGTTCGTGTATGGTAAATTGTTACCCATTTAATTTTTGTGTATGAAAAACTGCGTATCGTACAGGTTTCATTCAAATTAGTATAGATATGAACTTCTAGGATGTTCTAAAGATAAGAATTTTTCATTTACGGAACTTGTATGATTAGAAATTTTGGTCAACCGGGGTTGTGTAAATTTCAGTGTTGCAGAAGATTAAAACTTAAATTCAACCAAAATTTTGAGCAAAAATAAGCGTCTGTCTTACCCCCTTATTCACTTGCCTGTGCTAAGTTCTTTGGAAAAAAGTGGTCAAATCAACTTCAATTTATTATGTTTAGTTTGACATTCTACGAACTGAGATGGTTCATGGACCATCCTTACTTCATCACACTGGTGTTAACTGTGATAGCAGACCACACAGTCATGGTCGTGAAGAAGAAGAAAGACGAACCGGTCAAGAAGCCGAAAGCGACCAGCTTCATCGCAAAAGACTACAACAGTCACTTGGAGGATTTGATGAAGAAACTGTGTAAAAGTCTGGTTTTCATGACAAGAAAAATCAACACAGACAAATGTAGGCAACTTTTGGAGTTGTCCCACATTTCTTTTATCTCATTCGTCTTTTTCGTAGCGTTTTTGCCGTAAAATGAAAGTTTATTCACCCTTTATTGAAAAATCAACCCCTGGGCAATTTTTTTTGGTAAAATCCCTGTGCAAAATGCATTGAAAGACCAATAATTTTTTCTTTCGAATAAATTTCAGCAAATTTTTCGCTTTAGAGGTTTGACAAGTTTTTCTAATTTTTTCCTTCCAGTTTGGTTGTTTTTCAACAACATATTTCCCAATTGTGACCGTTTTTTTAAAGTTTAGGCCGGTGTTTTTAGGTATATTAAAATTTTCAGTACTATTTCCAAAGTTTGGATGTTTTTTTTTGTATATGAGTCTCATTTTTTAGTCGACTCTGAAAACGAGGAGCTCGTTACGTCAATCAAAGCGACCCTCTCTCTAAAAAGAGCATCGTACCCTGACCAAGCACCCTTCACTTTGCACCCAATCAACACTTCGTGTTTCCAACCCAAACCCCTCAAAAGACAGAAGTTGAACCCTAGATTCTCAACTGGCAGGGTTGTTCACACGACTGTAATGCCAATGAAGATTAACGAAGACCGATTGAGGCAGCTAGTTGAGAGAAGAGCTAGTTTGGCTAATACTGTCTGAATATTCTGTTGATGTGATGACACTATTCTAAAATGAACTCTACTAATTGGCGCTAAAGTAAGAACTAATTTTGTTTCATCTTCGCCTTCGTTCAAAAATTCAACTATA